AAATAAACATGTTACCATGGATGTACATAAAACAAGCAATTACACCCAATATTAGACTGCATTCAAGTTACATTTTGCAGCAATACAAATAATTTTGTAAAAATTATAAGAACTTCGAAGCCAATCTGAATTACAATGTTTGAGATAACTTGGTTCAGCAACAAAACCTGGTACTGTGAAATGAGATTGTAAAGCAAAATAAGCTACCCACTAGCAAAGGGTGTTCAAACTAAATGAGAAAAAAAAGGGACAAAACCTGGTACTGTCAAATGAGATCATAAAGCAAAATAACCTACCCAATCTAGCAAAGGGTGTTCAAACTAAATGAGCAAATTAAGCATCAAAGTTTCAACAAGTAACGGCCAATAGTTTAATTTTCATTCGATACATAGAAAAGATTTTACGTTGCCAACAAATTAGAAACTGCTCCAGATATAGCTTGTAAATTTGTTAGGACAAAAGTCGATATCTTAACATCAAGAGTGATTAGTGCACTATAATTATGATGAAAGTCAATATGTTAACGTCAACAGTGATCAGTGCATTGAAATTATGGTAAAAGTCAATATCTTAACATCCACAGAGATTAGTGCATTGTAATTAAAATTCATTTTTTACATGTATCAACATGGTAAACTAAAGTGAAGAAGAATTTACCAAACCCTAATTGATCCTTGTAAGAAGAAAATGGTTCCGGAACATCCTTAGGCGGTGCAATATCCTTCACAAGTTCTTGATACGCTTTCCGCTCCGCTAAATCTTCCAGCTTTCTCAGCCTCGCTTTCAATTCTTCACTCTTCACACCAATAACAATGTTAAACATAAAATTGAATCGATCAACAAATTTTGGAGCCACCGAAACAAGACGTAATCATAATTGAAGAGAATTAGAAAATGGGAAATTGAAACAGAGAGTAGGAATAGAAAACTAACCTTCTCCCTGGGCTTAGGGCTGGAGAAGATGAAACGGGTGCCCGAAAAAAGTCGGGTCAAGTCGGGTCTGGTGGATGGATCAGAGGACATCCACACAGCACGAAGTGCGGCGTAGGGTACCTCCGATTGGAGGAGCAGGTCGGAGGATGCTTGTCGAAGTTCATCGGAAAGACTCGCGTCTTTTGACGCATCGGAGAGGAAACCCCGAATCAAGGGTGTGGTGGATATAATCAACCCGACCCGGTTTGGCTTGTCGGTACCCATTGCTGGATTCTCTGCTACTACTGTTTCCAGCACTCCATTCACCAGCTAAATACTCTCTTCACTGCAGACGCAGAGTGGCTGCTTTCCTCGCGTAGAGGGTACTTTTTCTTTCTTGTTTTATGAAAAATAAGATAAAAAAGAAACTTGCAAGTTTTCTGAACTCTGGCTGATAATAACATCATCTAAATTTAATATTTGTTTATTTAATTTTGTTAATAATAGAAGTTACATCTACTCCTCAGTCAAAATTAAAATGTACTGAGACTAAAAATAATCCTCATCATTTATATAGATTGTGCAATTTAGAAATACTCTTTTGTTCTAAAATAAAACTTATAAATTTCACAATTTGAAAGTTAATTCCTCATTGAAAAAACTTATGAATTGGGTAATATGATAATATTTTCTAGATTACATAATTCAAAAATAATTTCTTTCTCGCATTAAAAAATTTAGATTGCGTAATTTAAAAAGTTATTCTTGATGTCATAAGAAGGGGTCATATGTTACCTTTTCTAGATAGAGAAAGAAAGCTTCAAAGATAGAAAGTTTAAAACCAAAAGAAAACATCACTAGAGAGACAGCGAGAGAAAGAAACGAGAAAAATCCAACGACAACTTATACAGAGATGATAGAATTTAAGGATATTTTTGTCTTTTACCACTTTGGCAACTACAAATGACGATAATGGATAACTTTCGTTAAAAAACTTGAAGTCTAATTACTTTTAGAATGTTCGTATTATAAAGTCCTATCTCATAAAAGAAAGTTTGGGTAAATTGTTTTCTTCAAAATTAAGGTTAGTTTTATAAATGCACGTTAAATTAATTAAAAACACTATATGATCATTATAAATAAATAAACATTATAAATCATTCATAATTAGTAGTTGACAAATAAAATGTCACATTTAGAAAGTAAATTTCATTGATTAAAAAAATCCTGAATTGATTCATACTATGAATAACTCCATATATTAAAAAACATTAAATCCTGAATTGATTCATACTATGAATATTATAATCTGACAGATCAGCATTCACAGATCAATCCCAAACCTAAAAAAGAAACATTTGAATTAACTTGTATCAATATTAGCTAAAGAATGTGGGTAAATATAATTATTTTGGGTCTCAGTAGAAGTTTTCATTTAAAAAACACTATCAGGTTTTGAGAGAGAAGTATTGAGCACAGGAGTGAGAGACCATGAAAAGCAAGAAATGACAAGGAGCAAACAAAGCAAGAATGAATTGCCAAGATCAACAACGACATTTCACCCTGTTTCAAATCTTGAAATGGATAAGAAATGGATAAAAAATAACAACATAGCAAAAATAATCATATTCATGTAACTGCATGCCAATTCCCTGTCAAACCAAAGCCATGTCACTGTAAAACGTAGTATTAGAAAATACATTTCCGTCCAGAAGTTATCATCTATTTTTAGATGCTAGGAAATAGGAACCAACTCTTCATGTTTGAACTGAGCTATTGCTCTTGTTCTCGGAAGAATTTTGCTTCCTTTCTGCTTGCAGAGACCGGCATAATGATTCAAGTTTTTCTTTCTGATTTTTTGTTTTCTCCAATTGTTTCTTCAAGCGCTCACGCTGCTCAGACAACAAGACGTTGTAAATAAATTAAGAAATTTATTTTATGGAAAAACAGGAAGTAATAATATGAGCAATGAAAATGCCAAAAAATAAATGTCCAAAGCTTAATGAAATATCAATGAAATTTGAAAAGAAGCAATAGAAAATTTAGAAGCCTAAAGTCAATATATACATTTTGAAAAAAGCATCACCAAGAAACATTCAATCTGTAGAAATTCTTCAGGAGCTTACTTAACCTAGCACTATTTTTTCTTTAATCATTTCGATATATGAAATGTTGGAAGCTTTCATCCTGTGAAAAACAAAGAGCTCAGAGGTGGATTACCAATTTGATATCGATTAGTTTTACATATATTCCCTCAAAGAAGCCTTAGCAGGGAACTAAAGCATTGTCGGTGTTAATAAACTGAGCAAGATTCATATCTATGCGTCAGCTTAAAGGAGAGTGCTACAGAAAATGGCATGTAATAAATGTTTGAAACATGCAAAGGTACTTGAGCATCTTGGGTATCTTATAATTTCTCCGGGTAAAATGGTTTGTATAGCACAATGAGGCCAATTAATCTCTTTATCCATGTCTCTTTCTTAATTCTTATAACATGCTAAAATGGTCAGTGATCAAGAACAGGAAACACAAACTATATACCTCATCAACTAACTCTATGAGTGTAACATCAGACTTCTCAGATTTACTCTTCAAGAATTGATTCTCCTTCTTGAGTTCCTTGATTGATTTTGCCATCTGGTTGTTAACCACAATAAAGGAAAAGACTGGACTTTAGAATTACACTCATCCGATATATGATTCAGGAAAAATTACTCGTCCTGAACAAATAAAAACTGCAACGGAAATTAAGTTTACCTTCTCAATCTCTTGTTTGAATGTTTCAAAAATCTCATTGCTCTTTGACAATGCTTCCTGAAATTCAATGCATGCGTTAAGCATGTGTGATCAGAACAGTGTATGAATGGAGAGATCAGCCTCAGAACATTCTAAAAGAGGACTTGAGCAAGAAGCAAAGCCAAAGCCAGAAAAAGCAACGAAAAAGAGGAGCCAAGTTGTACAGTTTAGTAAACTTCTCTATGAGCACTTAAAAAAGAAGAAAATAAATTAAGCTAACCCTGTAAGCAAAATTAGTTTATAACATTAAAATCAGCTTTTAGGCTTGTTATCCGAACAGGGACCAGATGTACTTAGAAAACAAGTTATCAATTACATGCCTAAAAGCAAATAGTTGAAAGGAGGGTCAAGTTAGTCAAATAAAGATAAAAAAATATCATGTGCGAAAACAAGAAAGTTCAGTTAGCTTGGACCAGTTAACTGAAAGAGAATGAAAGATACAGAATTTGTGTTAAGATATTAAAAATTACTAATATCTTGGGAAACAAAACCTAGCACAAATAATTACAAGTATATAATCTTAATTTGTGTTCAATTGTCATAAAAATAAAGTATTGAGGATGTGAAACCATATCACGATTAGAGTAAGACGTTTATGAATCCAACCACAAATTGTTTATCTCCACATCATATTGTTACAAATTATAAATATTTAGTAAACCAGACCTTTATGCAAACAGTGAGCACATTGTAGCCAAAGAGGCCATAGATTCAAATTGTGCAAATAAAAAAGAGAATAAAAACAAAACCTGAAATTGTTGGAATTTTTCTCCATCAGTTGTCAACTGCAATCTTAAACTCTTTTCAGTTGCTAATAACTGAGATACTTGTTCTGCATATAATTTTATCTGTGACTGTTCCTGAATCAATTTTTCTTCGTGCTGCTTAATTTTTAAATCAGAAAGCTGGAGTTCCAAAGACTTTTGCTTCAACTGTTGAACAAATACAACATTAAAGTGAATAAGTAACAAAACTTTATAAACACAACCATATTACCAATGTAAACCACAAGAAAAGAAAAAGCATCACCTTCTGTGCATATTGTTGCTCAGAGAGTTCATACTGTTCAGCAAGCTGCTTTAGCTTGTTTCTTAACCTGTATTGAGATTTAAGGCAACTTATTTTGTGTTCATCCAGAAACAATTAGAGGATGAGGAGGAATCAAAATAGTACGGGCACAATTTTTACCAAAAGTTACACCGATTATATTTTCTATTGGATAATGTTTTTATATTTTTCTCAAAGTTCACTGTTAGATTGAAAATTCCTTTTACAAAGATTATAGATACAAAATTTATATTACTATAAAATTGTTTTATACTTCCTTTATATAGATAAAAATTGAAATAATATACTATTCAAAATATAATAAAATATGAATAATTTGTTATTGTTGTTATTTTTTAACAAAAATTGACATGGATAATCATGATGATATGAAAATATAACTTAACGGTTGGATATGCAATATTTTTTATATAAAGTTATTGACAATGTAATATTTACCAAAAGTTACATTAATGTAATATTTGATCTTCCACCTTAGAGGATTCTTCTATAAACAAACATTGCCTACATTAGTTATTTTTTTAAACAGAGTAAATGTTTAATGGCTATTATGGGAGTTATATATTTTTAATTTAGATTGAAAGTTCCTTTCACATAGATCATAGTTACAAAATTATTTGATGTCTCATTTAAATATACATACATAAAAAAATATGTTGTGAAAATAGGATTTAGGAGTACCAAAGTAAAAATTTACAGTGACATTACCATCTATAGTGATGAACCAAAAATATCAAACCAAACACAAATAGAAATGAAGATTTAGCTTGGTAAGGAAAGGGCAGTCAATAAACTGTATTAAAGATTACCATATGCAAAAGGCGGCAGGCAATAAAACACATGAAGTCAACCCAAGTTCATTGAGAAATAGCAAGAAGCAAAGCAATAACACACGTGGGAAAAATAATGCACCCCCAGCAAATTAATAACCAAAATAATAAGACTTGCATTCTACACTAAAGCATAGCAGAGAAATTGATAACCTATAACCCACAAAAAAATACCATATGGCAAAATAAAATACTCAAGCATGAACATGTGTTATATGTATAGCTGAAACATATACATTTGCTGATACATTATGGAAAGCTATAAATTCTATATTCACAACTTGTCAGGGTCTTACATGTCGTTCTCTTTAAGCTGAGAAAGGCATTCATCCTTGCGTTCTTCAAGTTTATTGCTGACATCCTGTAGCAGAGGGAAACTAGCATTAAGTGGAGGAAAAAGCAAGAAAATTGAAGCATGTGATGTAATCGCCAAAATCATCTCAGAAGAAAACAAGCATAAGTTTCTGAGGTTATAATAAACACTGAAACATATTCCACCAACTTGAAGCATAACTCAAATAATTATTGAAGGAAAAACAACAGATACAGTAATTTATGGTAGTTTTTAGCTCATTTCAGTAAGAATTGATAGACTATGCTATAGGACCAGCTAGATGAGATATTTCTTCTTGTATTCTGAGATAAAATTCACCAAATTTCAAACCACAATGAAAACATTTAGATTTCCAGATA